ACCAATATCACTGAATAATCTGTGTAGAAATTGTTAAATGGAAACCTAGTTGTGCAAACATTCACTTTAAACACAATAAAACATTAAAAAAAAAAGATTAGATAGGAAACTTAGGGGGCAGTGAGTTTATGTTAATGGGGAAGGAACAATTCAGAAAAGGAGGGTGAGAATGGTTGCACAACTTGAAGAATATAATCCATGTCACTAAATTGTACATGTAGAAATTGTTGAACTGGTGTCTGTTCTGCTGTGTATATTTCCAACAACAACAATAAAAATAAAATAAATTATTTTTTTAAAAAGCTTTGCAGTTCATTCTCTGGCCCTTCTTTTTTTTTTTTTTTTTTTTTGTGGCCTTTCTTTTTCAATATGGCCTTGTCTAAACTTTTTCTTCTGATTTTAATTGAAAACATCAATAAGGAATATTTTTAAAGGAAAAAAAAAATCAATTCCAAACCCACCTCCTAAACATTAGCAAATGTTTCTCCCCTGTCTGGCTCTGGTCTTTGTTCATGTAGAGAAATTTCTGAATTCTGAATCTGTCATTTAGCATTTTATACACACAAAAATACTTTCCACGCTACTGCACAGTGATAACAATTGTCATTTTAGGAATTGCATAATATTCTAGCAAGTATTTAATTGTACCATGATTCAGCAAACCGTTCCCTTTCTATTGGACATTTAATCTGTTTCTCTATTTTTCTTGCTCTACAGAAAATGGCAACAAAGAACTTGGTGTATAAGGATGTTACTCTTCTCTTGAATCAATTCCCTCAGCATAATTGTCTGGAAATCTGTTAGTGGGTCAAAGGATATGAACATCTTTTATGACTCTTGTTAATGATTACTAAATTGCTTTCCAAAAGGTTGAATAAATTCACAAAGTCCTGCCCAACTCCATGGCATGGCTGCTGAGATTTTCAGGGATGGGCAGGCAATACCAGAGGCCTGTTGGGTTTTCCTGTGACAGATGGAAGAACTGACTCCAAATGTATAGGTCATATTACCCTGTTTAAGAAGAAATGCAAGAAACCTAACAACAACAACAGTATTAGAACGCTGCTTAATGATCTCACCTGCCATGCTCCAGAACTTTCCATGCATCCTACTCACTCTGAAAATAACCCTGGGAAGTTAGATCTTATTGCCCTTCATTTTACAGATGAGGAAAGCGTGGCAAGGAGAGATTAAACAACTTGTCCGAGGGTTATGCAGTGAGTAAGTACTAGAGTGAGGGTTTGAACCCTGTGTTTTACCACTGCTATTCCACACTGCATTTCACCCCATTGATTTGTAAATCAGCCCAGAATCTTGCCTAAATTGTAAATTGGCTGTAAAGTGGAATATGATATAATACATTTGGTAGGTTAAAGATGCCCACAAATTCTCTGCTGCTCTTTCTCCCATCAGGAGGTGGCATCTATTACCCTTCCTCTTGAATCTGGACTGGCCTTGTGACTTCTGACCAACAGAGTGCAACACAAGTGATGCTAGCTAGTCAACCTAGGCTTCAACAGGACGAGAAGCTTCAGCGTTTGCCTTCATGGAGCTGAACCACTATGTAAAGAGGTCTAGCTCCCCTGCTGGAGAGATCACATAGGGCGAGAAATAATGCCTGGCTAGTCCCAGCTGTTGTAGCCATCATGGCTGAGGCACCAGACATGTGATTGTCGCCATCTTGGATCCTTTAGCCCTAGTCAAGTCGCCCAGTCAACAGTATGTGGAGCAGAAATAAACCATCCCTCGTGGGCTAACCATCAGTTGTGGTTATCTTAAGCCATTGAGTTGTGGAGTGGTTTGTTATGCAGCAGTAGATAACTGAAGCAATAGATTTTGTTTTGGCAAATGTCAAATGCAGGAAGAGTACCCCTTGGTTGATACCTTCATTCTTCCCTAACCCTAACAAAGCCGGCTGCTAACTGAAAGGTCAGTGGTTCGAACCTACCCAGTGGCTTCTCAGAAGCAAGACCTGATGATCTGCTCCTGTAAAGATTACAGCCTAGGAAACCCTATGGGGCAGTTCTACTCTATAGGGTTGCTATGAGTCAGAATCTACTGAATGGTACACAACAACATCCCCAACTTGTTCTTACCTCTGTCACAGCACTGAACTGTTGCACACCTTTGCTGATATACATGTCTGCTTGCTCTATCAAACTGGGTGCAGTTCACCTTGGTAACCACAACACCTTGCACTAGGCCAGGCCCAAAATAGTCATTTAATAACCATTTTTTGAATTAATCATGATTTGCCCTTGATTGATTTATGAAAGCATGTGAAATGGAATAATAGCTTTTACTTATTGTGCTCAGCACTGTGCAAAGTGCTTTACGTGGATCATCTAATTTTCACAATAACCCCATGAAGTAGGTTCTGTAATTATCCTCATTTTACAGATGAAATTACCGATAGGCTAAGTAACTTGCCCAAGGTGACACTGCTGGTCACTGGACCCTGGGATAACTACCACCCTGAATTTGGTTTTATAAACCCATGCTCGTTTTTATATTTTTCAACAAAAACTGCAGTGCAGATCTAAACAGGCAGTCTGATGTCAGAGGGTGAATTTTGCAAAGATAAAAACTGTTATTGTAAAATATTTCAACCATACAAATAAGTATAAAGACTAGTATAGCAAACACTTACGTCCCCAAAGTCTGAACTTTTTATATATGCTTCAAATATTTTCAATGCTTTTAAAGAAGTAAAATATTATAGATTCAGTGGAGGTCCCTTGTCTACCCTCTCAATTCTATATATCTCTCTTTCCTCCCTTTCTCCCTCATCCCCGACCCTGAGATAACTACCACCCTGAATTTGGTGTTTATAAACCCATGCTTGTTTTTATATTTTTCAACAAAAATTGCATTCAAAAGCAATGTATAGTACTGTGGGTGTTTAAAATATTTACATAAAAGGAATCATACTGTTTGCACACTTCTGTACCCAGTCTCACTCAATAAATATATTTGTGAGATTCATTCATGTTGATATATGTAACTTTTTACTGCCATATAATATTCCATAGCTTCCCAAGAAACATGTGGTAGTGATGGACACTAAGTTGTTCCAATTTTTTATTCGTTGCTATTATAACTGTGGTGAAATGAGTTCCTTTATGTGACCTTTTGCCTTGATTCTTTGGAAAAACAGCTTGAGAGATTTCTCCCCTAAGCCCTGAGGAGTTATCTTTGTCCCTAGTTTTCTACCCCAGAAACTTTCTTACTTTTGTCCAGATTGATTGACATTTCCTGGGTAAGCTGTGAACAACTTGGTTTTGATACTTTTTGTCTGGGCCTGGGCTGCAGCCTGTCCTGTGATTG